ACCAAGAGATTTGTCCTATAGTTCACTGATTCTTTCTTCCATTCAATTCTACTTCTATGTCCTTCCATTTAGTTACCTATTTTTGATATTTTACTGTTTATCTTCTGGACTTCTAGTTATTGTTTTTGTATAGTTTCTAATTGTCTATTTATATTATCATTTTGCTCTTGTACTATTCTCCTGAATTTTTCTAGGGTTTTGTCTCTGTTTTCCTTGCTCTCTTTGAAGATCCTATATATAAACCTTTTGAATTCATTATCAGATAGTTCTATTACCATTTCTTCCTCAAGAAGGTTTTCTGTCCCTTTATTTTGCTCACTTGTTTGAGCCATCTTATCCTATTTTTTCATATGATTTGTTATTATCTGCTGCCTCCAAGGCATTAAGATGTTGTTTTATTTACTCATGTACGTATTAATTGTATGTTTGTTTGTTTTGTCCTGATTTTTTTGTTTTTTGTTTTTTTGATATATCAGGTCAAGCGGGGTGAGCATGCTCTGCTGATCACTTGTTTGGCAGAACAGAAGTGCTCACCTCCTACCTCTGGGTAGGGGGGGCAGTGGCAAGCAGGACAATCATGCTGTTGATCGGACATGCTGTGCAGATGAAGGCAGACTGGGTGGCTGCATCCTGCTGCCTGTCATGTGTTCAGTGGCACAAGGCACTGACTGCTGCTTGACAGGTGAGCAGGGCAGTGGTCGGAAGGGGTGGCAGGCTACTGGGAGGATAGAGTGCTCACTACCACTCTCTGGGTGGACGTAGAGATGGGCGGGGAGTGTGATGACCTACCGGTGGCGTGGGAGCACTTATTGCCACTAACCAAGTTGTCGGGGGGGTTGGTAGATGGGGTAGGGTGAGGGTTTCATACCATGGTCCTTGGAGTGGTGGGGTAGCAGGGACAGGGGGTGTTTGTTACGCTGATCACCAGGAGGGCATAGGGAGGGGGAGCATGCTCCCCTGGTGACCCAGCATGGGTTTTGGGAACTTCCTGTTGGCTGCAGCTAGTAATCGGGATGTGGCCCCAATGAAATGCAAGGAGGTGGTTCTGCCCATAGTCAGGGCAAGTGGGCTATGTGTTGACACTCTATGAATCTATTACTGCATGTGTGCCACCCAAGCTAATAGTCAAGGACCACCACTGATGAGTAGTCCTGTATCTGGATCCTAGCTTCCTCTTTGCTCTGTGGATACCAAGATGCCTGGAGCTCTCGCCCTCCTTCCTTTACTTTCCCTCCTTAAATCTGGTTTATGTTCTGCTCACCTTGTTTCACTCCAGATACATCTGTACAGTTTCTCTGTCTTCTATTGGAGATTCTATGAAATTGCCTTCCTGTGCTCTTCACCTGAAATCATTGCTGCCTTCATTTTAAGATGGTCACACTGTCCCAGGCTGGCGGGCAAGGCACCTGTGCTCCATGTCACTCCTCGTTTGCTGTTTTCATTCAGTTTCTTTTTCCAAATGGTGTTCAATTTAATTCTCTATACTTCCATTTGATGCTCAGGGTTCCAGAATTGCCATCTTATCTGTTTCATTTGGTGTCTTGGGTCTTTGCTACAGAGGGACAGCATAGTGTGGCTGGCTAAGCTACTGTCTCGGGCCAACCTCTACTATTAAGTCTTTACACAACTAATTGTTTAGAAAGATTTCTCTTCTCTGACTGGATAGATTTGGAACATCTCTGAAATGTTAGTGAGCTCTGAGAATTATTCAACCTATATCCCCCTTGAAATTATTATTTGCCTGGCCTTGTGGAGTTTCACCCTATACATACACAGATTGGTGTTCAGTGAAACAATCAAAGTAACACCCTATGAAAATTTCTGGA